CAACTTAACAGTGATGGCCTCCAACTTAACAGTGATGGCCTCCAACTTAACAGGGATGGCCTCCAACCCAACAGCGATGGCCTCCAACCTAAGAGCGTTTGAAGGACCCGGGTTAAACATGTTAAAACTCCGAATCGTGAGACTTGGATCGGGTCAGATCATGCCTTGACCGTCCAGCTGCTTGATGAATGCTCATGTTTCATGGAAGTTTAGGCACCAAGGCCACAAGGGTTATCCGGAGACATGATCTAAGCACCGCCTGCGAAGGAACAGCGCCCACACCATGCACCTTCCAATTTGTATTTAGTTCATACTGCTCGGCCTCGGACGGGTTGTTCTCTCACATTGGGCACCCAGGAAGCTTTGTTGCAAAGAACTAGCCATAGCCATGGAGACAACCCACCTGAGTCCTTTTCCTTGGTGTGTTCATTTCGTGGTCCTCCTCCAAATGAAGCCCCTTCCAGCTCTTTCCCCATAATTTACATCCGGGGAAATCAGCAAGATGACTATAGATACCCAGGTAACATGTTCCTTTCAGTGTTCTGAAGTGTTCAACCCAGGTTGGGCAATGCGATTGATTCATGGTACAGAAGTATTGCGCCATTTGGCAGAAGATTGCAAAAGGAGATCACGCAGATGTAGGGCAAGCTTGACTTTGCCTTTAAGTATTCTTAAGTTCAATTAGCAATGGGAGGTACCCCACCTGTCAAAGGCACAGCGTGCAGTTTGTGGTTCAATCCCCAATCCTGAGTGGAAGAGTTTCATCACTTCCCATGCGGGGTCCTTTCAGTTGCGCAACAAGTGGCGAGAAAGTGTCTTTTGCTGGTTGCCAGTTGCCCATTCCGTTTGCGCTTGGGCCTCTTTTTTCTGTTGAAAGGTGGAGATCAAATCTTGGTGGATTCCGGCATTGCAGATGGAGACTCGCTCACACTGGTCATCTCAACAGTTTCTTGGATCATTGAAAGTGCATTCCCCTCTCTCTCTCTCTCTCTTTGTCTCTTTGTGCTCGTTCGGGTGCTGATTCCAGACCGCTGCACACCTGGACCCACAAAGCGCTAAGCGATGCGTTTTGCAGCACAAAGCGCATATGCCAAGAGCTTGCGAAGACCCATCCTGAGGCTCCATGTGGCTACTACAGCTATGTGAACAGAAGATGCTTGGTGTTGTTGTGGTGCAAGGATTGTCCTTTTCACCCCCAGAAAGTAACAGTCAAAGCATAAATGGGATCAACATGGATTCGAATCATAATTGCTGACTGTCTTAGAGAAGATGCACATGTGACATTTGGAGCAACATAATGATGAATAAAATGCACGGTTTGGAGAAGAAGGCATAAGGTTTGGCATGATCAATGATAAGTGTGTTTTGTTTTGCCCAATTGGACCAATCTCAATGCAAGGTGGCGATGAAGGTGCCCCAGCTGGGTACAACACATTTGTCTCCTTGAGTGCAACTTGCCCGGCCAATGTCCAGCAAACTGTCTATAGAACACGGTCGTTATCCGGTCCTTTAATTTTGAACCTTTTTTGGAACAAGCTCTTGGAACGACGGCCTTTTCCTCTCACCATCTGAGCTTGTCCAACGTGTTGTAGATCAGTAGATCTGTTGCGCGTCCATGTTGGCCGGGGCACGACCATCCCGAAAAAAGGATTGAAACGATTCAAATACACCGGGGCCAAAGTGGATGGCACTCCGAGGCGGAAAGAGCGAATCCGGCCCCGCGGGGCCGTCCGTTCTCTGCGGCTTTTTTTGGGACACGGTGATTTCAGAATACATAGATCATAGACCCCGGATAGATAGAAAAGTAAATCCCCGACTAAACATATATTGGAAACAAACAATTTCCATTATATTTGGGGATCACTATATCAACATTAACTCCGGGGTAAAAGTGCATGGCACTGATTTCTGAATTGAGCCATCTACCTAGGCGTATCATTTTGAGGGGGTTTCAAATCTGTTGATGGCACAGCTATAACAATGCGCCATCTACCTAGATAGTGACCCTGATTGCCATCAAAGGAGATTAGTCTGCAATTTTTTTTTCATGTTCAACTTTTTTTTCGGGTGTTACGCCTTATTCTGCAAAAAATTGATGATCACATAGATGGCTCATCAAGCCCGTTGGAGCCATAAATGCTGTATTGCAACCCTTGATTGTGCTCCGCCATCTTTGCCCATGAGCAGGGTTCAAGGTCAAGCTTGTGGAATGGGGCTTGTTCAAGTTCAAGCTTGTTCTAATCTAATGGAAAGGGCTCATGGAAAGCCATTCTTGTGTTTGAATATTGTCTAGCTGCTTTTGGTTGTTGTAGGCTGTGAACTCTGGGCCGCAATGTCTGGATTTCAAACCTTAATTGTGCTTTGCGCCATCTACTTCTACATATACTGTATTCCATAATCTCCCCAACAACCTGCTTTGCGCCATCTACTTCTCATAGGGACCATTGAAGTACAGGACCAGGGGAAGGCAAAGGATAAGCGAAGGAAAGGAAACCACAGGATAGGAAAAGAAAGTAAGGGAAAGGGCATGAAAGGAGAGGGAATGAAGACATTTAGGAAAGAAAGGAAAGTGAGAGGAGAAGGTAAGGAGAGTAGAGGAGAGGTTGCGCCATCTGCTTCTCACAGGAACCCCTGAAATACAGGACCAGGGGAAGGTCAAGCAGAACTGAATGAAAAGAAACAAAAGGAAAGGAAAGCAAAGGGCAAGGGCATGAAAGGAGAAAGACCGGTTAGACTATCTAATGGCTCAACCATCATTAACCATTACAGTACTGTATCGCCTTTCACTCCAGGATTGCGCCATCTATTAGTGTGCACCGTTCTTACAATAGGTCAATGGAGATTGAAGGCAAGTGCAGGGAAAGGGAAGGGAAAGGCAAGGTCAACAAACCAAGGGCGAGGAAAGGAAACAAATAAAGGGAGACGACAGGAAAGAGAAAGAAACAACAGGAAAGAAAGCAAACGGGAGGACAGGTAAAGGAGAAGTGCAGGAAAGGAAGCAAAAGGATAAGGATCAGACACGGAAGGTCAAAGGATATGAGAGGAGAGGGAAAGGAGACAGAGGGACATAAGAGGGTAAGGTATGTAGAGTTGCGCTATCTATACTCACATGAACCACTGAAATAAGGCGTGAATGACCAGAAAAAGGCGCGCCATCATCGCCTAAAATTGGTCTGCTCCCCCTAACCTGGGCGTGTCTCCGAAGGGCCCTGTCGGTGCCATCTACTCGCCCTTTTCTGTTTCGCGCTGGGCACGCGGGAGCTTGTCCGCTGGGCACGTGATTTGGAAAGTCATGTAGATGCCAGCCAGCATCAACAATGATCGAAGAATGATTAAACACACATGAATAATGAAGTGAAATAAAGAAAAGTCAATACATAGTCTTTTTCTTTAGACCTTTTCTATCTATCCCTTTTCCTTTATATGGAGCTTTCTTTCTGTGTTGTGTCTCTCTCTCTCTTTGTTTATACCTTTGGAGCGGAACAAGCTCCGCGCAACGAGAGGCTATCAGCTTTGGTGAACATGGATCGGTGGTCTGTTTGGTACACTTGCCACTTCAGTCCCAAGAGTTTGCCAGTTCATTTGGTCGTTTACACCAGTCAGTTGTTCAAGTCAGCTTCAGTTGCCAAGTGAGGCAAAGTTTGACACGAATGGCCAATGTTACATCAGCATGGTGGAGGATGAGATCACATCGGCCACCTCAGGTGATGAGGATGATCCATATGATGAATATTCGAAGCTTCACTCAAAGATTTGTCATTCCAGTCAGTATTGAGGGGGCTTAGGTTATTTGAGGGATGTGTTTGGAACATTTAAGAGGAAACTCTTGGCCGGCGCAGACTCAATGTCCTTGTTCAAGAGAGTTCTGGATTGCTGACTTTGGAATTGCTATGGTTACCGTCTTGGCCGGCACATTGCCAAAGTCAGGAGTCAAGAGAAGTGGAGTCAGTCCTACACTTGTGAGCTTTGCATGGAGGATCGACAATTGCGAC